TGGAGTGATTGGGAGAGGGAAGGAAGGGGGCTTTCAGCATACTGAGAATGTTCTTCTTGACGTAAGTAATTACTACATAGTCCTTCCTTTGTGATGAATCATTTAGCTGCACATTTGTTTTACTCGCCAGTAATTAAAGACCAGTAACTTTAAAATTTCAAATTTTATGTAATCTTAAATCAGGCCTACAATGAGAAAAAAAAGTGCAGAAAGATCCTAGTCTTTTAAGAATTATTACGAAGACATCACTTTATAACTTTCTAATGCCTATCTCATAACCTGATAGTTCTAAATTGATAGTCAAATAGCAAATCAAATTTGGCATTGGACATCACTGGTCTTCCTTGCAGTAATGAGAGTAAACATTATAATTAATTGGCTTACATGCTCTAGTATTGTAAGTTAGAATTAAAAAAGCAAGTAAACAAATTTACCAGCTCCATCAGGTGTCTTATGGAGAGCAACACTGCCTCATTTGATGGTGGATCCATTAACCTACTCAGAAAATAAGCAATTCCACCTAGCCTTAAAATCTGGGGGTGGGGAAGACAAATATAATTAAACACATACAATATTAATATACTAGCATTACAACTTAGCCCTACCTGGGCTGATGACTCAAAGCATCAAATTTATACATGATTTTCAAGCTATTTTACCAAAATGAATTAAAATTATATTTGTATTTCTATAAAAACATGTTTAAAGGCCCATATATATATTACTACTTTCTACCATCAACTCTATTAATAGGAAAAGTAGTTGGCTAAAATCTTAATGAACAAGTTGATTATCCACTATCTTCAAAATAAGGCTAACTATATCAAAAGATACAAGACACTGAAAAAATAAGTAGTTTATAATGAAGGATAACATGTTAACATGTAGTAACAGTAGAATGTTCACTGAGCACTTACTATTTGCCAGGCACTGTTCTAAGAATTTTAGGAGGTTAATTTAAACAACCTGCCCAATATAACAGAACTAGCTTTTCCGGGGTGGAAGCAGGATTCAAACACAGGCAGTCTGCCTCCTCTAGAGCAGTATGTAATTTAAAATTGCTTAATATACATTTGAAGGAAGTTTAAATACACAATTCACTAACACACACACAAAATAAATTGTGAGTTAATAATTCTTTCTTGGAGATTAATACAGTACTTTGTTCTATAAAAGATGTTGAAAATGAGATCACTTCCATTTAGTTTCTTCATTCTCCCACCTAATTTACCTTTATTTGTAAACAAAGTTCTTCCAAAGGAGTTCTCAAAATTTCTGGCAGTTGATAGTCATCTAGAAGACTTGCTCTAAGACCATTATACAGATGATAGCAATGACCAGGTTGAACTCTTAAAAACAAAACAAAACAAAACAAAGAGGGACAGTCATCAATGACTTTTTAGAACTCCAGAGAAAACAGTAGGCAGGGAAGTAGCCAATATCTATTTCTTATAAGCCACATAATAGCTAATGTACATAATTATTTTTCCCTTTTTACGAATCATGTATTTCTTCTGTTTAGAAAAACCCTACACCCTCTACCCTTGTCACAGTTTTAAGAAAGATACACAATAATTCCTCCCCACGCCAATAATTTGCTTCCCTATTTCTGACAGATTCCAGATTACTGTGCTCAGTAACAGCAGTCTACTCAGGTTAAGGCTAAGAATAGTAACCTCAAGTATGCCTTGTGATCAATTATATTATGCAATGAATCCTGGCATTATGCTAACCTGTCTATATTACTGAAAAATATTTTAAGTACTGTATATTCTATTTAGTGAGTTCTCAGAGGGATATTAAAAGTTTTTGTTTTATATTTGTAACTAGAGCCTTAAATGATACCATTTTTTGGACAATGATAAGACTAGATGTAGACTGGGCATGATGGCTCATACCTGTAATCCTAGCACTCTGGGAGGCCAAGGTGGGTGTATCACATAAGGTCAGGAGTTCAAGATCAGCCTGGCCAACATAGTGAAACCCCATCTCTACTAAAAAAAAAAATTAGCTGGGTGTGGTGGTATGCTCCTGTAGTCCTAGCTACTTGGGAGGCTGAGGCAGGAGGATCACTTGAACCCAGGAGGCGGAGGTTGCAGTGAGCCGAGATCATGCCACTGTACTCCAGCCTGGCGACAGAACGAGACTCTGTCTCACAAAAAAAAAAAAAAAAAAAACTAAATGTGAAGTGGTGACCATATTCAAGTACTCTCAAGCAGAATAAATATTTCTATAGGCTCTTGCTGCTACAGGAACAAAAATGAATTCTAAAACTCTTAGCTATTTCTGCCATGAGTCTACATAGATCCATTGTCTATTATATAATATACCTGAATATCTCTCCAGTAGAAACTAAAATAAGAGTACCTCCATTGAGAGCCACATAGTATATAGCTTTTTCTGATCTCCAAAATAAGGCTTTGCTAAAAGAATTTTAATCTATAGACTCTACAAATGACTATTTTCCTTTTAAATTAAAACACCAATTTCAGGATTAGTTAAAATGCAATGCTCTATTAAGTTTAGTTCTATTATTGTTTCATGGAACAAATCTAAGGCTTAGTATATTTACTATTCATATATAAAGGTGTGGCAAAACCTGTTCACTATGGTGAATACTTTTTGAATCAATATTTAGTGGTGATGGGTCTACATGGGAAAACCTCAGTCTTTTTGGGTCCCTTATCAAGTTATTCCCTGATAACTGATTATCAGGAGGATATACTTCTTTGACTAACCCACGATTTTGGTTCAACAGCATCAACTCTCTAATAAACTGTCTCGAAATCAAGTTATACTGGGATAATGTGCAAAGATTACAGCAAGTAAGTCAGAGCTTTATAGATATTGTACAAACTTAAAACAAGGGGTTGACAGATGGTCTGTAAAGTTTTCTTTCAACTCTCCTTTTCTTAAGTCTGTATCGAAAGATTAATGGAAATCTCTTATTCTATCTATAAAAGGTAAAAGAAAAACCCTCTTCTGAAAGTCCAGATATAATTCTATCACTCATATAAGTGTAGAAATACTGTGACACATGCATTAAAGTCCAATTTTTTGTAAAAGTTCAAGATAAATCATTTTTCCTACCATTAAGACAGAGATATTTTTACTTCTTAAGTTATTGTACCATTATGAGGAAAAGTACTTTCTTTGTGCTTTCATTGAAAAGCACTGGTGAAAAATCAGTACTGCTATAAAATCCAGTGATTAGGAGCCTAGACTGTGGAGTCAGAATGCCTGGATTCAAATCCTGCGTCTGTAATTTAGAAAGTTATGGCACTTTGGACAAGTCATTTAACTTCCTTATACCTTAATTTCCTTATCCATAAAATGGATATAATAACCTACCTCATAGTACTGTAGTGAGGATTAAGAAAGTTAATATGAATCAAGTGTTTAGGAGATGATCTGACACTCAAAAAGTATTAGTTGCTATTATTATTACACATATTATATGCTTTAAAAAAAGAAATGAAAACCAACTATTATAAGTAACATAACTTATTAATCAAACTCAGAAGTTTAAGGCAAAGGATTCATAAAATAGAAAACTTGGCAGATACTTTTCCAAACTATGATTAAAATAACTTTCTATTTAAAAATGTTTTGCAGTAAGCTCAAAATAATAAGAAAGGTAACTCTTCTAATAAATATATTTAAATGCCAGCATCACATTTTGTTACACAAAATTTTTGTGTGTTCTAAAAGCTTTGGACAGAGTTCCCATCTTACCTTCCAGCTCGACCTTTTCTCTGTTTGGCATTAGCTTTACTAACCCACTCAGCGGACATTGTACTGATATTGTTCTGAGTATCAAAATGTGTCTCTTTTATTTTTCCTCCATCTATCACATAAACGACATCGTCTATGGTAATGCTGTTTGGAAAACAGATATATAAAATGTTAAAAAAAAAAAAAAACACATACACACACACATCAAAAGCACTATTAACCTATAAAAGACCTATAGACAGGGATTTCAGAGCATTTTTTTTTTTATTGGATCAAATGATTTTAGCCATTCAGGATGTTCACTACTCTTCACACCCACATTTACCAATATTATAGGGATCGAGTACCTAATAGTAGGCAGTGTCAGGCACTGTAAGTGACAGCACAGTATTAGTTCTTCAGACCATATACTAAATTCTTACTTGCCTACAGCCAAATATCACAGGTTGCCTCATACCTAGCTCCATGGGAACCCCAACAGCATGGTTTAATATCAGCTTTCATAAAAGAATCTGTTTCAGTGACTAAACTATGTCTTAGTACCCCAAGAGAATACAAGAAAATTTAAAGGCTGGATATAACTAATTACCAAATACTACCCCCAACCAGAAACAGGTGAAAGGACAAAATTTACCTCAGCTCCCATGCTTCTTTAGGTAAACAAAACAAAACCTAACACCTAAAATGCTATTTCTGAGCTAAAGCATTATTATAGGTTAAAAAAACCCCACAAAATTGGCCATGCATGGTGGCTCAGGCCTGTTATCCCAGCACTTTGGGAGGCTGAGGCAATAGGATCGTTTTGAGCCCAGGAGTTAGAGATCAGCCTGGGCAACACAGTGAGACTCTATCTCTACAAAAAATGTTAAAAATCAGACAGGTGTGGTGGCACATGCCTGTAGTACAAGCTACTTGGGAGGCTGAGGTGGAAAGATCACTTGAGCTAAGGAGGTCAAGGCTGCAGTGAGTCATGATCGTACCACTGCACTCCAGCATGGGTGACAAAATGAGACCTTGTCTCGAAAAAGCACACAAAAAATAAAACTATGCTCACTGCCATAAAAAAGGTTTTATTTTTAATAAATTACAAGGCATGTGGTAGAGAAAAAAGATTAACGTATGTAAATACTTTACGGTGTTTAATCAGTATTTGATATTTAAAACAACTTTTACCTAGTCTCCGCAATGTTGGTAGCAATTACTATTTTCCGAACACCAGGAGGGGTTCTTTTAAACACCTGTAAAAATAAATACATCAGAATCACAAAAGAACACTAATTTCTAATACATTATTTTTATAATTAGAGGAATTTCTTCAGATACTGTTCATTTTTAGCATTCTATGTTCAGTCACTGACATATACATCTAATTGACGTATTTATAAAGTATAGATCATTTTCAATATTACAAAATTATCTTTTGGTAAACCAAACTAAATCTCCCACAGATGTCACAATCTTATCACAAACAAGATTTCCAATGAGGTATCATTATTTAAATATACAGCAGTTTTTTAACAAAAGCTGGAGGTTATAAAGTAGAGGGAGGGATATTTATGTTAAGGACAAGAATAATGAAGTCAAATCTCCATGGGTAAGAACAATAAACAATCAGGCAGATGCCCAACCCAGAATAAATGTCAACTGTGCAGCTGTACCAACCACTGTCTACTAGCTTGAGATCAGACTGGAGTGAAAAAAAAATCCTCTTCAAATGGGGAATTCTACAAATACTGCCCACAACCCCGACAAAGTCACTAAAGTAGAAAGAAGATAGGTAATTAAGTACCACTGGCGATAATGCAAACAAACAAAAAAAAGCATAAACTTATCCTTTCATTTATAAAACTGGTAATCAATAGAGAAAATGCTTCCCAGGCTATACACATACTCTCCAGCAAAGGAATACATAATTTACTAGGTTATGATGTGGAAGATGAATACTTTCACGCTGGATAACTCTTTCAGTCTTTGACATCAAGAGTTTTCTTTCTTGCCCCTTCTCTTCTCTCAGGTATGTACTCTGTAATTCGTGACTAAGGTACAGCAACAAAAATATTAAAAGGGTCTCAGAGAAAAATATGGTGGTATTTTCTTACAAAAAGAGAAAAGGAGAAACTAGAAACGGGGAGAGGAGCAGGTTTTCTAATCAATTTCATTTTGCAAGAGCCTGCAAATACTATAGATCATAACATTATCTTGCCTCTGAGAATGCAGCGTTCACTCTAATTAGAAAAGTGTCTGTATCTGATGGAGTCAAAACATTCATAATACATTATTAAAACAAGAAATTTTATACCTGTGAATATACTAATTTTGTGAAATTAAATCTCAAATCATCATCAAACTGTAGTACGTCATAGATCATTAATTTCCAGGTTTGGTTACTGTTGGTAGTACTGACATACCTTTTTCTCTTATTCAGGAAACCCAACCAAGTTACTGGTGAAACCAATTCTTTAAGCTTTTCCCTAATGTAGACACAACTAATCTAATTTGTGGGTTATCCTCTAATATTCAAGTTTCTGAGCAATCATTCCCTGAAGACTCATTTGCAAAGGTTCTCAAATAAGTGTTTTTTACATGAATTACTATTTGAAAATGCTCCTTAAAAAAAATAAAGGAAAACATGTAACAAGCAGTCCTTAAAGCTTGCCTCAGTTTGAAATACATTTAACAAATGTATCCATTTAACATACCTGTGTCTGGTTAACTGTAGGCATCAACGAATGTAAAGGTATAATTAAAAATTTATCTGAAAATTAAAGAGAATTAAATTTTAAGATAAAGAGTTGCAGAAAAGCTCCATCAAACACATGAGACAATGAATTCAGATGCTGAGCCACGTAATTCTTTTTTTTGATAAGACATTGAACATTGTTTAATGAAAAGAGCCAAACCATCTAAATCATTGACAAATTGCCCATGTGTTTAAGAGAACCACACAATTCTTAATTTATATTTCTACATACAAACAGACCAACTTAATTTCTTTATAGTCTTGTTTTCTGAGTGCTCCAAGTTCAAGCTAACACTTTGTTCTGTTATTTCATATCGATAAGTATTTTCCCCAAATTCTTAAAGAATGCTCAAAAGTTGGGAGTAACTTTTTCAAATTACACCAGTAAAAGTTGAATAGCCGAAAATTCTGTTTAACATGAATATGTTTGTACACTTTGAGTGCTCCTATTTTTTTGTTGTTGAGACAAGGTCTCATTCTGTTGCCCAGGAGAGTGCAGTGGTATGATCTCTGCTCACTGCAACCTCTGCCTCCTGGGCTCAAGTGATCCTCCCACCTCAGCCTCCCAAGTAGCTGAGACCACAGGCATGCACCACCACGTCCGGCTAATTTTTGTATTTTTTGTAGAGATGGGGATTTGCCATGTTGCCTAGGCTGGTCTTGAACTCCTGAGCTCAAGCAATCCACCCGCCTCAGCCTTCCAAAGTACTGGGATTACAGATTACAGGCATGAGCCCGGCGCCTGGCAATCCTCACTATTCTAATCATAACAATAATATCTAAATTTTTAGAGCAAATTACTTATTAAATACCCATGTCCTACTTAGAAAATAATGAAATAGTCCTTGTTAAAAATAATACATTCCAAGAGTGACTCACATTTTAAACCTATTTTGGTGCTCGCTTCGGCAGCACATATACTAAAATTGGAACAATACAGAGATTAGTATGGCCCCTACGCAAGGATGACACGCAAATTCGTGAAGCGTTCCATATTTTTAAAAAAAGAAAAAAATAAAAAATAAACACATTTTGTTAAAAATATAAGAAATTCCTACTTTTTAAGTTTCTAAATAAAACAGCTCAAGCCCATTCATGATTATTAGCGAACACAGAAAGCCTGATATAATACAGTGATGGGTGAAAGGGAGAGTATTAAGAAAACAAGGGTTAATTTCACATTTAAGTATGCTTACAAAAATACAATCTGACTTAAATGCCCAAATGATTCAAGTCAGCTATATTTCTCCGGAAAAGAACTGTTGTTATCTAAAGGAGATATGATGATCCCCATGGATTCTGTGAAAAGATTTTACGAATCCTAAAAAATAAAAAGTAGTAAACAGCTGTCGAGCAACTGACGTCGCTAAAAAGAATGCTCTGAATTACTTGTCTCCGTGACAGTATGAAGTATTTCAACTATAATGTTCGAGCCAAAAATACTTGAATTGAATCAAGCCTTCAGATATAACTTCCAAGTTACAGGAAATACAGGTAAGAGAGAATCAAATGAAATGATAGCATAAAGAGTCAGAAAAATTCAGACAGTTGGACTTATTAGAGAACAACTGGCCTGGTCTTTTCCATGACTTTATTACCATGAGGAAAAAAGCAGGGAGTGGAGGGGAGCAATGTTCTAGAGCCAGATCAAAAGATGTATTTAGTTTGACATTTTCTATAGTTTGAACAGACTAGCTGTGAAAGACACTTCAAAAAAATGGGAAAATCTGATTACAGACTGGATTATTAGATGGTATTAAGGATTAGGTATGATAAAGACATGATGGTTATATAGAAAATTGCCTTTAGAGATTCTTGCTTATACATTTAGAAATAAAATGTGACAGCTGCAATTGACTTTAGGAAAAAACTAGGACTGAAAAAATAATTGTTGGCACTGAAGTCGTGGATATATATATGGTATTCATTAAAATTCTCCAGTTTTGGCTGGGTGCAGTAGCTCACACATGTAATCCCAGCACTTTCAGAGGCCAAGGCAGATGGATCACAAGGTCAGGAGTTCAAGACCTGCCTGGCTAAGATGGTGAAACCCTGTCTCTACTAAAAATACAAAAACTACCCAGGCATGGTGGTGGGCACCTATAATCCCAGCTACTTGGAAGGCTGAAACAGGGAACTGCTTGAACCTGGGAGGCAGAGGTTGCAGTGAGCTGAGATCGCACCACTGCACTCCAGTCTGACAGAGACAGAGACTCCATCTCAAAAAAAAAAAAAAAAAAAAAGATTCTCTAGTTTTTTGTATGTTTAAAATGTTTCTTTACAAAAAGTTCAAAAAGCCAGGCATAATAAAAGTAAAAACAATTTTGTTGAAGACTACATAATCGAGGAAAAAAAATTTATATTGCTGATACCATACAACTAACAGAGTTAATGAGAACAAAATCTACACTCTTATGAAAAGAAAGAAACAAGAAATTGAAAAGCATTTAATAAACTGAGTTTCAAAATTTAACTTCTCGGCACAGAGTTAGGCCAATTTTTTCCCCATGACAGTGACTGACTATACAACTGATTATCAAGGCTAAGCTTTTTTCAACATAATTTGAGAAAAAACACTCAAGTTCTGGAAAGATTTCCTTTAAAAGGAATTGAGCTGGTAGTGCAAGTATATACATCAGTAACTCTTTCCTTTAGAATAATTAATTCAAACTAGAAAGTTAATGAAGTCAATTATAATAATCTGTAATATCACACCCTTTTCCCACTCCCCACCACATACACTAAATGATAATATTTTGGTATATATCTTATCTTTATTGGTAAATATATGCATATATTTTTAAAAATTATTAAGTACACTATGCAATAATGTTTATAATGGGGGAAGGAAAGGCCAGAGTTAGAAGATTTAGCCAATAAAAAATTTTAGTTGTTTGAAAAAAAAAAATTCAGCTGTCTAATCATGACAAACTTTTCTACAGAGAAAAGTTGTCACACAAAAAGAAAACAGAAAACAGTGTTTCTTTATAGAGAAGTCAATTAGATCAAAATACTTCACCAGCTAGATAGTAAATAATTTTAATTACAGAGAATGCTTTCAGAGCATGACAACAGGATTTAACAAATAATAAAAATACGCATTTATTATTTTAGTCAATACAATTAGACCAAAATATTTTCTGGTGCCTGTAAATTTTGTCTGGCTGGGCGTGGTGGCTCATGCCTGTAATCCCAGCACTTTGGGAGGCTAAGGCAAGCGGATCACGAGGTCAGGAGTTCGAGACCATCCTGGCTAACACGGTGAAACCCCGTCTCTACTAAAAATACAAAAAAATTAGCCGGGCGTGGTGGTGGATGCCTGTAGTCCCAGCTACTCAGGAGGCTGAGGCAGGAGAATCTCATGAACCTGGAAGGCAGAGATTGCAGTGAGTTGAGATTGCACCACTGCGCTCCAGCCTGGGCAACAGAGTTAGACTGCCTCAAAAATAAATAAATAAATAAATTTTGTCAAAAGCACTTCAACAGAGTGAGGTTAGAAATTATATTTGGAGGCCACGTGTGGTGGCTCAAGCCTGTAATCCCAGCACTCTGGAAGGCTGAGGTGGGAGGATCACTTCAGGTCTGGAGTTCGAGACCAGCCTGGCCAACATAGTGAAACCCCATCTCTACTAAAAATGCAAAAAGTCGGCTGGCATGGTGGCACATGCCTGTAATTCCAGCTACCCCGGAGGCTGAAGCAGGAGAACTGCTTGAACCCAGGAGGCAGAGGTTGCAGTGAGCCGAGATGGCACCAACACACTCCAGACTGCCAACAGAGTGAGACTTCATCTCAAAATAAAAAAATTATATTCAGAGCCATAAAAATTAAATAGAATTTGCTTTGTAGTTTTTATATTTGAAGTTAATGATTGCTGAAAATACTCTAAATTTTACAGAAAAAAAATGTTCTCATTCATTCCTCTGACGTTTATATGTTTCAAAATATGCTGCTCATACAGGATCAAAATCACTTGAGGAATTTTAAAAACTTCAGATTTCAGGTCACATTCTTAGATTTGGGGTGATGATGGGGTCTACGTATCTGAACCTTAAAGAAGCTCCATGGGTGACTCTGTTGCATAGTCAGAATTCAGAAACACTGGGCTAAGGGATTTCTTTTTCGCAGCAGTGAGTGAAAAAATGAAAAACCCCACATACCTATGCTTTAAGAGCCAATTTTATTAGGCAAATTGTGAAAAAGAAAGAAAATATTCTCTTCAAAATACTAAATAAAAAGCCTTCCCTTCATCTGTGACCTAGTAGAAGCAACAATTCTTCAAATAAAAGAAAAATATACACATCCCACATATAATTCAAATACCACTCTTTGAATTATAGTAAAATACATTTACATAATACCTGATTTAAACATTACTTGTGACATCAAGAGATCATGTAAAGTGCTGATATTGTCCCAGCCTGGTAGAAAGACCAGTATCGCACCATCCTATATGAAGGGGAAATAACCATTACAACGGATCGTATCAACAAAATGCAGTAACAGTAAAATTGTGTGCACACTTAAGTCTCCATTAAAATTACACTAGATCAGGATAATTTTCGTTAATAATTAAAAGTCTATAAGCCCACCTTTTTTCTTTTTTTTTTAATTATTGGTTTTGAGCCAGAGTCTTGCTCTGTCACCCAGGCTGGAGTACAACGGCATGACCTCGGATCACTGCAACATCTGCCTCCTGGGTTCAAGCGATTCTCATGCTCAGCCTCCCAAGTAGCTGGGATTACAGGCCTGCGCCATCACGCTCAGCTAATTTTTGTATTTTTAGTAGAGACAGGGTTTTGCCATGTTGGCCAGGCTGGTCTCAAACTCCTGGCCTCTAGTGATCCACCTGCTTTGGCCTCGCAGAGTGCTGGGATTACAGGCGTGAGCCACTGCACCCGGCTAAGCTCACTATTAAAAAATGAGATTTATAATCCAGGTATTTGTTTAGTCTTTTCTTCAAACAGGTCAAATGCCTAAATCTTCTGCTACTATGAGATGATTTCTAGTATCAAAAGTAATTTCTTCCAAGCCATTTTATAAACATTTAAGAAAATTGTATTTTTCATGGCCTTGATACATTAATAAAATTAAAATTATGTTAACTGAAGAAAGAAAAATAAACAAAACTAACCTCTTCTTCCAAAACAATGTATCGGATAAGGGCAACAATCAAATTGAGATCAACTTTATCATCATCCATCATTTCTATAACATCTACAGTACTTGCAGAATACCTATCAAAGTTAAACACAAAGTTACGAAATACTTAATCAAGTTTTCTAGTAACTTGCTATAAAAGTTTAAAATTAACTCAATCTGCAAATGAAGGAACATAATCTACACATCGGAGAGAATTACTGGGCTAATAGTGCTTAAAAGTCAAATCAGCACAATATTTAGCTGGAGTAAGAGATTCACAGTGCTCTCCTTTAAGTATGTACAGATTCAAGAAGATGCTCCCAGCCCCTGGCTTTCTCTTTTAGTTATTGAGCCACTGATTTCTCACCTTCAAACAAAATAAACTCACCTTCTTCGCAGTTCCCTTACATAATCTGGCCAACGTTCTTTATATATTGCTTCTTTTTCTTCTTTTTCTTGTCTGTTTACATGCCCTTGCATGAAACCCCTCTTAAACTGGGATCTGTGTTCTTTTTGTTCTGGAACATACCTAAAATAAAAACATTCTTGAATATCTTCACTTTTTTGAAACTCTAGTTTTAGCTAAAATCTGTGATATTTTATATTTAGGATTTTCAAAAAGAATTCTAAAGAATATTTTCATTATGCTTTCGAGTGAATACTAGCTAAAATATCAGTTTGTGTTCATTAACTTATAAAACCTGATATTTTAGATAAAAATCATTCTTCTCTATTGAAGTACAGAAACCTATAGACCATTTTTAGTACTTAAAATTTTTAAAAAACACTAAAGTAACTTTTACCTTAAATTTTAAGTTTGCTTTAGAACAACAGTTAACATTAATGTAAGTCCAAACCTGACTGCACGTAAGAATTGAATCCCTCAGAGAGTTTGTAAAATACAGACTCCTAAATCCCATCCCTGATGATTTGGATTTGGTAGGTATGCCTTGGGTCTATTCATCTAAGAATTTTAATTAGTGCCCGCAGGAGATTCAGATAGTATATCCAGATCTATAGACCCATGCTAGAGAATTATTTAATTCTGCTCAGTCACACAGTTGTAGCTAATGGCAGATCCAGAATCAGCATTCAAGTCTCTCATATGTCAATCGAGTGCTGTACTATGATTCCACTACCATCCTATAGTGACTGCTAAAACCACAGAGGGCACATCTGGGCAATAATTCTACCTATCACTGTCAGTCCTGCGAGGTATGGGGTGGGAAAAGATAAAAATGAACCCACACTTTAACCCCAAGGCGTCTCTGCGTTCAACTAGAGGACAGCCTCTAGATGGAATGGGGGAGGGGTTAGAGCATGGACTCCTAAGTCAGAATTGATGTTCTTGCTCAGCTACTGACTAGCTGCGTGACCTTAGATAGGGCATTAAATATCTGGTCTTTAGTTATATTATTTGAGAGATTAATATGTTTATAACAGTACTGGCATGAGATTTTTAAAAATGTGATAAAGTTAAAAAAAAAAAGTGATAAAGCCTCACGTATAGCAGACACCCAGAAAATGTTAATCCCCTTCCCTATTCAGTACCTGTGACCCAGAATTCCCCTAAGTCTTCAATACATACAGAGGCACCAACTTGAGGTAGTGCAAACTGAGACACAGATTGGTTCTAGTCAGCAGGATGGACCCACAGTCGGCTCCCTTCCCAGAAATTGCAAAACAGAGGTAACCTTCAATCCTCCTACCTCCAGTCACAACCCTCCATATCATCTTGCCCTGCTCTTGTTCTGTCATTGTATTTTCTTTGCTACCTCCCTGCTGTGCAGCTCTTCTTCTGGGAAGGGGACAGCCAGGAGCTTCTGATGAAAATCTCTAATCAAGGAACACCCTCATTCAACTCTCCTCTTAAGAGTTGATCAGCAGATGACAAAAGCACAGATACCATCTTTTCGTTTCAAGAGACTGCTTGGCTACAATTCCATATGCATTCCCTAATATCCAGGGAGCTTCAGAAAGCAAGTTTCCATCAGGTGCCTTCAGATTATTGATCCTCAAAACTTTGTTTTCATTGTTGCCAAGCAGTTGCCTATTATTTTCCTGGCAAGCAATTGCTAAATGTGCCATGATAGGATGTGGGACACATGGTAAAAAGTGTAAATGAAGAGGGAGGATACAGAAAATTTATGGCCACTGATGATAAAATCAGGACATGGAAGACCATTACATGCTGTCTCTCTGAGGCTTTTAGTATGTTCTATCTTCTCTGACATATACATTTCCCTCTTTCCTACTTTGACTTCAACTGCTTTCCTAACTTGACCAGTCTCTACCTAACATATAAAATCTAATTTCTAATATAGTCTTCACTTCCCTCAGACTTCATATATAACAGCTTATGTGTCTCGCTGTCTACAAATAAATTCTGAGAGGATATACCAAGTCTCCCCTTGCTTAATGTTCAGACCCTAGCACAGTGCAAATAATTGAGTAAATACTTGTGAAATAAGTGGTCAAAACTCAGCAGATTTTTCTTCATATAAAAATGGTTGTAGGAACTTTGCTCTCACCTTCCACTCTCACTTCCTGGTTTTCTTAAGATAACTTTAGAGTCTTGAAAAATCTCATCCCAAGTGTTTCTACATCTAGTCCCCAATCCCTTTTTGAAACAGCGTCTCCCTTTGTCACCTGGGCTGCAGTGCAGTGGTGTGATCTCTACTCACTGCAATCTCCGCCTCCCAGGCTCAAGAAATCCTCCCACCTCAGCGTCCTGAGTAGCTGGGTCTATAAGCGTATGGCACCTCATGCAGCTTACTTTTGTATTTTTTGTAGAGACGGGGTTTCACCACATTGCCCAGACTGGTCTTGAACTGCTGGGCTCAAGCGATCTGCCCCATCTCTGTCTACCAAAGCATTGAGATTACAGACATGAGCCACCATGCCTGGCTGTCCTTTTTTTCATTCAGATTTACCATAGGTTAGGCACTGTGCTATGTACTAGTTACTAAAATAAATAAGACAAAATCCTGAACCCCAAAAAGTCTGAAATCTAGTGCAAGAGGCAAATACAAAGAGATACACTATACAACAAATAACATAAGTGTTATAAGAGATATGATACAAATGTTGCAGGAATACAGATGAGAAAGAATTAAAGGCCGGCCGGGTGTGGTGGCTCACACCTGTAATCCCAGCACTTTGGGAGGCCGAGGGGGGCAGATCACAAGGTCAAGAGATTGAGACCATCCTGGCAAACATGGTGAAACCCCATCTCTACTAAAAATGCAAAAATCAGCTGGGCATGGTGGCGTGCACCTATACTCCCAGGTACTCAGGAGGCTGAGGCAGAAGAATTGCTTGAACCTGGGAGGTAGAGGTTGCAGTGAGCGGAGATCACGCCACTGCACTCCAGCCTGGCGATGGAGTGAAACTGTCTCCAAAA